TCCTGCTGATACCTGGTGTCTTGGGGCTGGGTGCTGCTTGGATGTTTTCCAGCCTCACACAGTCTGTCAAGCTCCTTGTCTCCATGTGCTGAGTGATTTAATTGACTAACTGGCTGTGAAGCAGCGTCCTGACTGATGGGCTCTAATCAATACCCTGCTCCAAGTTTGGCCATGCTTTGCCACAAGACACGGGACTGACTCGCTCTCCCTTTCCCCTGCAGACCAGCCTGACGCTGGATGAGAGGTTCTCTGGTCTGAGGAATAAGAGGCGCTTTTCAGCAGCCAGGAGCGCCGGCCGGACAGTCACCATGCCTTAGCACCACATGCTCATCACAGGGACTGCCCGTAACAGTCCAGGCCCTGTAATGGGCAGCTCAATAAAACTCAATAGATTTCCTCTGAGATAGCTGATTTGGCAATGTGCCGTCTCCTTCCTTACACGCAGAACGAATGAGCAATTGAGGGCAGGGACAAGGCAGGATGAGAGTCAGGACCAGAGCACAGGTGGGACACGAGCAGGGTGGTGGAGGGGGATGAGCACAATTGGATTTGCTGGAAGTGCTCTGCCAGGGAGCCATGGGCTGGCACTGGCCCTGTCTCCCTGCCAGGGCACCCTGTGCTGCCCTAGGTGACTCCTGCAAGAGGGAGGGGGACCCAAACCATACCAGTGGAGCCTTTCCTGCATTGTCCTGAGGGTGGGACAGGGTTGAGGACACTGTGCCTGCCCAGGTGGGAGACAGAGTGGGGAGCGGAGCATGTGTGGGCCTGAAGGACGTGCCCCTGCAGGGATGCTCTAGCTGTCCGCAATCCCCAGCATCCACCTAATCGCCCCATTTTTTGTGTGCAGGCATCCCTGCCTGAAGGTTTCCGGTGTAAGACCCCTCCATCCTGAAAACGTACTGCTCTGCCCCGATAGTCAGACCTGAGCACCCTGTATTTCTGTTTGGTTTGCTGTGCTGTTCTGACTGCTGCTGCTGGCCTGGTTGCGGGGATGGGGTGAGATGTGCTGCTGGAGTGACTGTCCTCGGCGTGGAGCACAGACAGGCTGCCCTAGCCCAAATCAGGTTTTCCAGTGCTGCAGTAGTTCTGCATTAGGGATTTTGTAGGTGCAGCTCCACCCATGCTCAAAGCACCAGCATAATTGATCTAGCAGCTGTAGGAGGGAGGCCAGGCTCTACAGCAGTCCAATAAACATTGGCTAAGATGTTGATGAGCTGGGTCTAGACATTTGTTAACGAAGCCCTGCACCAACCATGAGTCACTGATCTATTCTCCACCCACTGTTGCAACCCAGCACTGAATGCGCTGGACACAGCCTGTTACTGGGCTCTATGCTATACTTATTAAAGTAAATATTTGATAGACTGCTTTACATTTTATGCCAAGCGTCTTTAACAAGAGACTGGACTCGGTGTTGGTTTTATAGGAATGTGTGAAATGTTGTTAGTTGATGAACTGCTGATGTACGAGTCCAATGCACTGAATAAAAACCTAACTTGTCAAATGTCACCTCCGGTTATTTCCCTTCCTTCAACAGGCTTTTGGCGCAAGTTCAGCCTCTCAGTGTGGCACTGTGGGGCATAATACACATGGCCGCAGGGGCTGCTGCCTTGGCGCTTTGGGGGAGGCCGTGATCTGCTGCCGTGACCTGTGGGCTGTGGGGCTCTGGTCCGGCCACGCAGGCACTTTGCTGCTCACAAAGCTGGGTCTAAAGCACAGCCAAAGCAGTGGGAGGTTTTCAGTAGGTATTTTGTAAAATCTTTGCTGTGATCTCTTTTGCCTTTAATGTTATCGGAAAAATGATCAGAGCAGACGTGGCTCAGAGTATGTCCAAAGTGAAATGAATGCAAACTGCCTTCCAGGTTGATGAACTCAGGAGAAGACATGACCTCTTCATGCAAATAATCCAGATGTCATAGAATCACAGAATGGTTTGGGTTGGAAGGGACCTTAAAGCCCATCTAGTTCCAACCCCCT